CTCTAACCCTAACCAATTAGATTTTTTAGCTTCAACATCAGCCAAACTTCAGCATCAGCTGTCACAATAAACAACAATATCATTCTAATAAATCTACTACAAAATTTACAATTCTTAACATTGATAAAAACTTCTTTCTAATTTAACTCTTACTTTATACTTTATACTTTAATACTTTAACTATATATTCTTATATATTCTATCATCTTTCATACACTTTATAACTTTATATACTAAATATAGTCTAGTATTTTTCATTATTTTTTATAACTTTATACTATTAAATATACAAATCTTATAATTTAACCTTACTTTTAAATTTATTTAATTAAATACTCTATTTACTCTACATTTATTTTTTCTTAAAAAAAAAACCTAGATAAGTCTTTGATTACTCTAGTAGGTTTAGATCGTAGATAAAGTAGTCTAAACTTTTATTCTTGCATGCAGTTTTTATTTTTTATATTTTATATATTAAGATTAACAACTCCTTGTAGTTACTATAATAAAAACTATTAATAAAGATATAAGCAAGGCCTCACCTTAATATTGAAAAAAAAAAATTTCTTTTTTCTATAATTATATTTGAAACCAATTTATAATACATATAAAATTTAACCTCTATATAAGCACAAACTCTCTATAAACACCAAATTCTTTAAACCAAAGTTGTGATTATAGAAAGGTTTGACTGTATTATACCCTTATTAAAAAAAATCATTTAAATTATAAATTAATATATTATATTATTAAATCAATTAACTATAATCTTATTAACAATAAAATTGCTAAAATTCTTTTTTACTCTCTTATTAACATTTCATACATAATAAAATAATTGGTTAAATGTTTTTTTTTTGTTAATGTAATGTAATAATATTTAGATTGGTTATCAATGACAAGAATATAAGTTGAGATTATATATACATAATAACCTTACGATGCAATTTCAAAATCACCGATCTATGCCCATTAATATATCACGATAAAGATCAAATGCATCAATAAAACAAACGGTACATATATTTAAACCGTATACATTCTATATATTATCATTTTCAATTCTTTATATAACCTTTATATAATCTCAACACTAAAAACACACTATAAATCACAACTCAAACTATAAAATACATTAAATGTTCCGACTTTATCTATCATAGCTATTATATAATCCGTCAATGTAGATTACTATTTATTTAACTCGACGTCTACGCAATTTGGCTATTGGCCTATCAACGTTACTTGATTGTATATTTTTTTGTACATCAGTGTTCGTTCCATTCTGAAAAACTTGGCCATCACCGTTCATATTAAAAATTGGTGGAGTTGTTGGGTGATTTAGATTTAATCCACTACCAAAGTTATTACTAAAGGTCACCGGTGCAGAGAAAGGCTGTGATGGAAAGGCCGGTTGAAAACTGAAAGTTGCCTCATTAGTTTGAAACGGAGACTCAGTAGATGTAATAGGAGTCTCTTGGTTAAATTTAAATGTTGTTGTTTATTGTGACAGCTGATGCTGAAGTTTGGCTGATGTTGAAGCTAAAAAATCTAATTGGTTAGGGTTAGAG